TAGCCAGGTGATAGAGGTGGGCTGTGGGGGGAATCTGTGCAAAGGTAAGTGATATGTGCAAAAATTCTCCAGGTGAGGGAGCACGTGGCAAAGTGTAAATTGTTCAAAGTGGCTGGAGAGGAGGCGGTGGATGAAGGAATAGTGTGAGGTGGTAGCAAGAGTGAGGAGGACAGTGATGATTTAGTGGTAGAATTCGCACCTTCATGATTCTGGCCAATGAACTTCAAATGCAACTACCACCGGTCTGTCAGTGGAGGCTCGTGTGTTGCTATAAGGCTGAACAGGTTTCAGCAGAGCTTCCAGACTAAGAGAGACTAGGAAGGCCTGGCAGTCTACTTGTAAAAATCAGCCAATGAGAAGCCAATGATCAAAATGGTTGGATCAGCAACTAATCATGGGGATGCTACAGGACAGGGCAGCATTTCATTCCGTTGTGCATGAGGTCACCATGAGTCAGGGCCAACTCCAAGGTAGCTTACAACGACAGCAAGAGAGTACACTTCATCCTGACACCAGAGAACTTGGTGTTGATTATCATGGGCTCTATGTTCTTGCTAACTGCTTGTAGCTGGTAAGAAGTGAAAATGTATTCTTAAGAGCACATGCCAGAATTCTAGATAAGTGCTTTGATTAGTTCATTCAAACAACACGTATTTAGTGTTATGTTCCTGACACTATGCTGGTTCTGGGGATACAAGGCTAAACAAAACATATATGCTTCCTCCTCTCATAAAACTGACAGTCTACCAAAATCCATTGCCATCAAATCAATTCTGACTCATAGCAACGCTATAGGACAGAGTAAAACTGCCCCGTAGGGTTTCCAAGGAGCAGCTGGTGGATTCAAATTGCTGACCTTTTGGGTAATAGCTGTAGCATGCTGTAGCTTTTAACCACTGTGCTACCAGGGGAGACCAATTTCAATCACATAATCATACAAATATTAAGTTGCAACTGACATAAAGTACAAGGTGTTATGATAAAATATAACAAGGGGACCTGTCTAGATCAGAGAATAAGGGAAGCCTTGCTTGAGGAAGTGATTTGGGTGTTGGGAGGTATAAGTAAGTGTTATTTAGGTGAAGGTGGTAAGGTGATGTTGTATGAGGGAATAGCAATTTTGGGAGAGAACAAACCATGGAGAATCAGAGATGAGAGAGAACAGGATGCATTTGACATCCTGAAAGGGGACATTCTTCCTGGAGAGCAGGGTGTAAATGGGGTGGTGGCACTAGATGAGGCTGGAGGTTTGGACAGAGGCTAGTAAGGATGGAGATCCAGCTGGCCTACGGTCTTTATCCCAGAAACAAGAACGTTTTGAAACTTTCTGTTTAGTTTTTACCGGAAGAAGTAATTTGATCATATTTGTATCTTTAAAATCTAACTCTGGGTGTCAAGAGGACAAAAGGGTAGAGGGGACTCGGGGGGAGGTAGTGACCAAAGAAGATGCAGTTGTTCAGGTAAGAGATGGGGGTAGCTTAAGCAAGGGTAGAGGCAGTAGTAAGGGAAAGCGTTCGATCTTCTTTCCTGAGACGTTCAATTTTTTAGTCATCTGTGAACACACACTTTCCAGAAACTTTGAGGATATTCTTAACTTATCCTCTCCTTCACCTTCTTTACCATTGTATTACACATTGGATTTATCCATTTCTTTCCATCATGGTATGGCAAAGAGAGAACAGATCGAAAGAACGGAAAGAAAGAACTCCCCATCTCAGGAATTTGCAGAAATCTTGGGGACTGTTTGAATTTTTTGTCAATCTAAACCACAAGAAATGCAAAGACTCTAACTGACATTAAATTGTATAACCTATAGCTACACTTTTACTGAAACTTGTCTAATATAAAGGTATAAACTGTGTGGCCATTGAACAGTTTTTTAATATATAGATATTAGTATTCTGTTACAACCATCTAAGCCAATATGCTCAGATAATTAAACCAAAAAACCTGTTGCCGTCAAGTAAATTCCAACTCATAGTGACCCTATAGGATGAAGTCGAGCTGCCTCATAGGTTTTTCAAGGCTGTAATCTTTATGGAAGCAGACTGCCACTTCTTTCTCTTGCAGAGTGGCCAGTGGGTTCGAACTGCCAAACTTTCGGCGAGTAGACAAGCACTTAATCACTGCATTACCAGGGCTCCTGTGCGCAGATAATAACTAGCGATTATTCTTAACCTCATTAATCAAGCAAGAATTACAAACTTAAATTCTTTCCAAGATCAGCAGGTTACATAATACAATCGACTCTCATCATTTACAGTAGTTATTTTCTATAAAGTTGCTGTGAACACTGAATTATCAAATACTGGACCATTGCTCCTTGGAAAAATATAGGGTTAGGTTCATATGAGTATCTGGTCACAATATTTTCATCACCTGATCGATAAATAACCTTGTATTATGTGTATTTCTGTTTAAGACATTGTATTTATTATATATTGTTGATTTGTTAACATAAAACTGACAGCCAACAACACTACAACTCTTGCCTGAATGACACTAGACAGCCCTTCAGCATTCTGCTTGGGAACCATTTTAAACAGAAAAATCTTCAACAAAAAAGCATACGAATGGGACAAACATGGCACTAAATAGACTGTGACAAGGACACTTGTTTACAATATGAGAACTGAAAAAAGAAGGCAGAGTATCACCTTGTTTGACTTCAGCTCGGAACATCCAGTACTACAATGCCACCAGACGTCAGACTGGCCTGCATCTGGCTGGCTGGCCTGTGGGTTGGAAGGCTGTGCAATTCAATGCTTAGAGAGTGTATTTGTTGTTAGCAGCAGTTGAGTCGGCTCCAATTCATGATGACCCCATGCACGCTAGAATAAATGTTGCCCTGTTCTGCGCCATCTTCATGGTAATTGGTATGCTTGAGTACATTTGTTGCAGTTGCTGTGTATTTTGAGTGCCTTCCAACCTAGAGGGCTCATCTTCCAGCACTATATTGGACAATATTATATTGTGACACGTAGAGTTTTCATTGGCTAATTTTCAAAAGTAGGTTACCAGGCCTTTCTTCATAGTCTGTCATAGCATGGAGGCTCTGCTGAAACCTGTCCACCATGGTTGACCCTGCTAGTACTTGAAATAATGGTGGCATAGCTTCCAGCATTATGAAACATGCAAGCCACCATAGTACAACAAACTGACAGACAAGTGGTCGACATAAACAATAGGCTTATCTATTATGTAAAATAGTAACCATTTATTTTTCATCCTTTTCTGTATCTGGATTTCTATGACTGGAATATTAAATTAATATTTTTGGTTCATAGAAAAACTCATTTAGAATTTGAGTTTTCAAAATTTTTCTTCTAAGAAAGTTTATTGGAGATAATGAGCATGGACTTTGATATGCTTCCACCACCAGAGAAACTGAGTGACCTTAGTTAAACTACTTGAATAAGTCTCTTTTATCCTTAGTAAAATGGACGTAATCAGACCTATAGCAAAGGGCTGTTGTCTGATGACAATTAAATAATATATAAAATTGCACAGGATCTGGTACATAGTAGACACACAAAAATATTAGCTATTTTTAGAAATTGCATTGGTGTCTTGTCATCACAAGCAAAATTACCTCAACATTCCTTCAGAAAAGTATGAACTGTACACCCTTCTAAGCACTGAAATACAGCAGTGAACAAAACAAAAGGCTTGTCCTCAAAGCGATATTTTGGCGATAAAATACGTTAGAAGAACTGTCAAACTTAAAATTAGTCAATTAGATTGACTTTGCAAAACCAAATTAGTAATTCTTCCCAGCCAAAGAACACTTATTTATCCTCATTGACATTTAGCAGTAAGATTATTATATTTTCATAGTTCTCTTTAAAAGATGTCAGTAAGTTATTTCATCCCTTGGATTTTATTAGTATATATATGTATATATATAAAACATTGCCATCAATTCGATTCTGACTCACAGCAACCCTAAAGGACACAGAAGAACTGTTCCACAGGGTTTCCAAGGCTGTAAATCTTTGTGGAAGCAGACTGCCACATCTTTTTCCTGTGGAGCAGTTTGTGGGTTTGAACCACCAACCTGTCGGCTAGCACCTGAGCATTTAACCATTGAATCACCCGGGCTCTTTTTTTTTTTGCTAGTATAGCCCTATGATAATAGAAATAGTAGGATGTTAAAGGATTTATCATCATTATAAATGGATAAAATATTGAAGTTGTTAAGAATTTCATTTTACTTGGATCCACAATCGACGCCCACGGAAGCAGCAGTCAAGAAATTAAACGACGGATTGCATTGGGCAAGTCTGCTGCAAAAGACTTCTTTGAAGTGTTGAAGAGCAAAAATGTCACTCTGAGGACTAAGGTGCCCCTGACCCAAGCCATGATGTTATCAGTCACCTCATATACATGTGAAAGCTGTACAATGAATAAGGAACATTGAAGAATAATTGATGCTTTTGAATTATGATTTTGGTGAAGAATATTGAATATACCATGGACTGCCAGAAGAACGAAGAAGTGTCTTGGAGGAAGTACAGCTAGAGTGCTCCTTGGAAGCAAGGTTGGTAAACTTCGTCTCATGTACTTAGGACATGTTGTCAGGGGGGACCTGTCCCTGGAGAAGGACGTCATACTTGGTAAGGTAGATGGTCAGCGAAAAAGAGGAAGACCCTCAACAAGATGGATTGACACAGTGGCTTCAACAATGGGTTCAAACATAGCAATGATTGTGAGGATGGTGCAGGACCAGGCAGTGTTTCATTCTCCTATGAGTTGGAACTGACTCAATGGCACCTAACAAAAACAACAAAGGATTTATAGCTAAAAAGGACTTCAGCAATTTATTCAGTCACCTTATTTTTCAGATAAGATACTGAATTAAGTACTTGGGCAACGCCATACAGATAACATACCTAATACAGTGTTCATTTTAATAGGGGGAAATGTACCTCTTGTATCCTAAATGCCATATAACTGATGAAAAACATACTGATTTGAATGACTTCTGTTTTTGCCAACAGCTAGATTCCAATGGGGAACTGCTCATCCGAAATGCCCAGCTGAAACATGCTGGAAGATACACTTGCACCGCTCAGACAATTGTGGACAATTCTTCAGCTTCAGCTGACCTCGTTGTGCGAGGTAAGAATTTCAACATTTTAAAATCACAAAACCAAAGGTATTTGACTTGCATAAATATTTATAATCTTCTGGTGACTCTGGCTCAAATTCTTATTTATTCAGAGTCTTGATCCTTGAAAATGGCTTCTTATCCATGCCTAGTGATGATTTATGCCAGACAAGTAATAAACAACACTAATTTTATTTGTTTTACTAACTACATATGTCCTAGAAACATACACCACAACCTCCTACTAAATGTTTGTGCTTTTATACTTAGGACTTACCAGAAGTTCTCATTGCATGCTAATGCTTTCAGTGTGTTGAGTATAGTGCTATTTCCATTTTTATTTTTTCGGTACTGATGCTGTTTAGTATAGCCTCCAATGTTATATATTTATCACTACCATCTTGGCATAAAAATTTAATTTATATATGTATCTTGTTTCTATTTGTTGCTGATTTTCAGACTAGTGTGTTTGTTCATTTAATAAATATAATTGAGAATGTGCTGGGATACATGCTTGCTGAAAATGTGACCCCTTTAATACCTGCTTCTGTTCTTTCTGTGAGGCATGGCTGGGAATGTACCACACCTTGTTTAGAATCATTAATCGACTCTTCACTCACTTCCTGCAGAATGAAGTCCAGCACATTTAGCTTTGCACTCAGGAGGTTCCATGCGTTGACCTCAACCTGACTATTTAGCTTTTATCTTTCCCATTCTTCGCAACCAACTCCACTGTTCACCTATCTCACAAGCATACCCTAGTATTTCTACTTCAGTTCCTTCATTTACAGCATTACTTCCATGCCCTGTTCTCATCTTTTCTTGTCCAACTCTTACCCATTTTTCAAGGCTTGGCTAAAGTATTACCAAATTCATGAATCCTTTGCTGGTGTGCCAAATATGAGCTCCTTTCTTCTAAACTTTCGTAACACTTACTGTTTTCTCTAATGTGTTTTATAGCAGCCTGTACACATGAGTTATCTCTTCTACCAAATTATTAATTCATATCTTCATTTTTTTAATTTAGTTAATTGATGAGCTTCTTTGCATAGTTTTCATAGCTCTCTCTTTTTTTCTCTCTCTATCACTGTTGTGCTAAATTTCTACTTAATAGAAATATTTATTGACCATTAGATTAATTGCACATTTTGCAGTTAGTTTTTGTACAAATCAAATAATGAATAAATAAAATGATATGTGTAATTTTTTAATGCCCCTTCCAGAACCAGATCAATATAATTTCACTTAGTTTCATACGTCTACCACATTTCCATATATAGCAGTGATATTATGGGATCCCCAAGCAACCCTGGGAAAATGCTGAAAAGTCTTTTATTCCAGTTCAATACATTCTCTAATAGATCAACAAGAAAACAAGCCGATTTCTTTTTCCGAATGAACTGAAACATCCCATCCATAGACCACTTACTGAAAATTAATAAAACTCTGAGGTTACAAAATCCTAAATAAAGAAAGTTTCATTTAGGTTTAGTATTTCCATTTAGATTATATGATTACCTGGGACCTCCCTTATCTTTGAGAGTTATTAGGGAGAAGGACTAGTTCACTGTTCTTTTATTCAAACCATTAACTATTAAGCCATTCCTAGCAATAACCTATGTATAGATTTAATTGAAATTGTTTGCAAATTAAAAGAATTAGTTTTAATATTAATTACTTAGTGTTAAATTAATTAATATTATAATACGGGTTATATTACAATACATGCACATTACAATCTTCATGTAATTACATTGTAGTAAACTCCCAGTATTTACAGGGAAGAGGAAGTTTTATAGACTTAATGTAAGAGTATTAATGATATACTCACACGTACTTGCGTAATTAATAATCACTTCAATGAATATTTTTTAGTAGAAATAAAGCCAATAAAAAGAAATTATAGCAGGTATTCTGTGGAAATAAAAAAGTTTTTGTTCACTTGTTCACTTGTTTGTTTCTCTAAAGCCTTTTAGATCCCAGAAAAATGCCTTAAAGCAATGGAACCTGACAAGTGCACTCCGTTGAAATTTAACATAGCATTTTAAGTCCCTGCCCTAAAGCAGGATGTTAATAACACTATATAGGTAGATGAAAAGTATTGCTTAGCACTGTTAAGGTCTGCAGAGTCATAATCAGTCTCCAAAATTTATTTCCAATAATAAAAAAAGATATTCATTTTTATGGGACTCTCTGAGGGGTGCAAATGATTAACATGCTCTGCTGTCAACCAAAAAGTTGGATATTTGAGTGTCTTGGAAGAAAGGCCTGGCAATCTACTTCCAAAAAATCATCTATTGAAAACCCTATGGAGCACAGTTCTACTCTGACACACATGTGGTCACCATGACTCAGAGTTGACTTGATGACAACTGATTTACTAGTAATTTTATATCAAGAGAAAATTGCAATCAAAACAGATATATTTCTGCATATCTTGTGAAATGTAATACCTTGTATCAAAAAATGTATATAAAGTAGACCTTCAAATATGCTTTATATTTTTAAATCAATGGATATAAAATTGAACAGATATCTTTATTTTTTTATAATGATGACGACTAGTATGCTTGAAAGACATGTCCTGCCCTAAGTAGTATTATTTTTAGTGCATTTATCCACCAAGTTCTGTTTTCATCTAGCTCAGGAAATCATGGACAGGCTTCAAGGGGTCCATTGGCCCCTGAAATTGTATATGCATATGTATGTGCGTTTTCCTGGGAAGAGGATTTATTATTTTCAACAGATTTCCTCTGCCAGAAGTGGCCCAAAAGGCATTAAAAACCTTAATCTATTCTGCTTTTTTTCCCCACCTAGATGAAGGCTCTCTAAAGAGAAAAACTAAGGAATGATTATTCACTTCATGCTACAGTATTAAAAAAAAAAAAAAATCATATGATGAGGTCTGATAGCACATTTAGAATGTAAATTGCTTTAGAAAAATTCAGTTTGCACTCAACACTTCAAAAATACATCTGTTTCTCAAAACATATTAAGCAGGATCTATATTAGATATTCTGTAAGAATTTCCAGATTTGAAACTTGACTAATCTATATTCAGATATCAGTGATCTGAACTACAGATGCTGAAATTTGTGCTATGAGAGGTACAGCGAATAGAGTAGAAGGAAAAGCAATTTCCTCTGAAGGATAACTAAGGAAATATTTTTATAATAAAAGTAGTGTAGTGCATAAACTATTATGCCCTATCAGGAAGCTGAAACAAAAGTAGAACTATCCAGGCATATTTAAGACAATGTATATTTATTTTAACTGTGCTACATTGAAGTAAATGAATACATAGTAAAAAACTATTGCTATTCTTATAGCCTGTGTGCATATGCATTTGTAATTGCTGGTGGGTGAGTATGAGTATATGAAGACCTGGTGGAGCAGTGGTTAAGAGCTTGGCTGCTAACCAAAAGGCTGGCAGTTTGAATCTACCAGCCCCTCCTCGGAAGCCCTATGGGGCAGTGTGTAAAGCTTGATGAAGGTAATTGGTATGAGAGAAACAAATGTATTTAGACCTATGCCTTCTGTCATGTTTTTAAAAATTGAGTTTAGAATGAAAGCAGTGGATTAGTTAAATCTGAGTGTTTCTAAATAAAAAAAGGAAATTAAATATAGTAAAACACAGCCAAAGTAAATATAAGATTGGACCTGATTTCATGGAAGCCCTTTACCCAGATAAAACTCACACCTTTTTTTTTTTTTTCTTTCCTATTTAAGGTGTGGTATGATTGGGAAATAAGAAAGACAATAGCAATTACCAGGAACAAAAAACAATCTACAGAAAATGGCCCTAATAATCACATGTGAGCCCCTGTCCTTTTGTAGCTATTATAAACCTTTACTTATCAGAATGCTACTGCACTTTAATTATCTTATCCACTAATTGGGTCCTCTGACGCTCAAGGAAAGGATACCAGAAAACTGGCATACATTGTCTTATCCCGTTGCAGGAGTAACTTTCAGCTTACATTGTCATTGAGCTCTACAACTAACTTCAAATTATGGGGCTATATTCTTCATTTAATTTTCACTTTTCAATTCCAAAGTGGCCCTTTAAATTAGTTCTATCATTCCACTTTATATTTATCTTTATTTCTATAGCGTAGAGATTATTTTTGCAAGAGTAATCTTTCTTCAAACAATGTTGTTCTGGAAGCCCAACATATAAAATTCAAGACACACTGATTGAAAAAAGGTCAAAATAATTTATATTTCTGCCAATATGTTTAATTCACTATTTTGCAAAACTCTCTCACTAAAAGCACCGAAAATTTTGGATTAACTCAGTAAACATTCCACCTCACAGCTCTGGCAAAAGCAAAAGCCCTGAAATAGGGTACTTTAACCCATCCCTCTTGGGATTCTAAAAAATTTAGATGACTCGAACATGAAATTGTACAAAAGATCACAAACCACAGAAGGAAATAAGTCCTGCTGAGACAGAAGAGGGGTGGGGGCAAAACAATAGAATTAGATGCCAAACTACTTCAGCTAGTGGAATCATCAAAATGAGAATTAAAATAACCATGCCCAAAATTATCAAAGAATTAAAAGAGGGTAAAAATGTGTTGGAAACAGGGACGGTAAAAAATGACAGCCGGTTTTTGAAAAGACAAAAAGACTGCTTATAAATGATAAATATAATCATTGAAATTAAAAACTCAGCAGGTGGGTTAAACAGAAGATTAGAGATAGATTGAGAAAGAAATGGAAAACTAAAAGATAGATATGAGAAAATTACCCATATTTCAGCATGGAGAAACAAAGAGAAAATGGGAAAAAGAAATTACAACATGGGGATACAATGAGAAAGTCTAATATTTGTCAAATTGGAGTACCATAAGAAACAGAAAAAGAAGGAGAAATGATTTTCAAAAAGATAAAAACTACACATCTTGGGGAGTTGATGATAAACATGAATCCTCATACTCAAGAATCACAATGAAACATAAGCAAAGTAGATTAAAAAAAAAAAAAACCTTCAGAATACTGACGATAA